AATATGTTATATTGAAATGATTTCTTTTTTAAATATCATAAAATGTCATACATTTTGTAAATAGATTAATATCTCACATTACCATTGCATTCCATTTGTTGTTCATGTCGCAAATAATATGTATTTTCATCAAATATGAGTAATTTGATAAATATTTTTGATCAAATGAATTTGTTAGAATAATAATAAAATAAATAAATTTTCAAAATAAAAGTATCATTTTTGACATTGCAATTGCATCTTCTTTTCTGGTATGGTACGTTGGGAGTATCCTTAAAATAAAACATAATAATAGTGATCACGTGGCTGTATTTCATCCATTTGGATTTGATATAAAATAATAAGTTAATAACCTTTGTAAATTCAATTCAGAAATCAAGTAAATAAAGACACATGATTCTTTTGATTTTACAAGAAGATGGATACAAATCATACAATGTTGCAGATGCGCCCAGCAGTGGGCTGTACTATTACTGGGATTTGGCTTGCTTTTTGCCTCTTGGCAGTTGGCGACTTGGCTCTCAAGTCTGAACTATTTCAGTCAATACTTTATACTAATTCAAATAGTACCGACTGTTTTATTTAAGCCATTCAATTATTAAATTTCAATTATCAGATCCCATTTCTTCCTTCTATACCTGAAATTAAAGCTGCCATATTTCTGATTTATAAACTAAGTAAATTTGTTAAAAAAAGTTTACAAATACGCCATCTCGTATTATTATTATTATTATTATTATTATTATTATTATTCCTAACCATAATTATCAACAACAAATTTCTTTTATCTAACAAAAAGATTATGGGATTTCATCACATTTGAATTACAGAACTCTATCAAATTAATTAGGTTTTCATTCGATTTTGCAACCAAGCAATTAATAAACATCATACAAAGTTATAAAATCCAAAATCAAACCTAAGAAATCGAGTTTGAGCCCTCATACCTTCAACAAAGTGATTGAAGTATCATCGGTCCTCTATAGCCGTGTCGAAGAACGATACATAGATCCACCATCAGCCATGGTCACCCCTGTATTCTCCCTCCTCCTTCACCTTCTACCTCCTCCTTTCAAATGTCATTTCTACATTCTCCCTCCTCTGTATTTTGTGTTAGGTTAAAACCCAAATCAGAAATAACACAAACCAAAATTATTAAGTCGAAATCGTTTCAAGCCCTAATCGGATGAGAGAGTACCGGTGAGATTGTGCATCTGCTGCAAACATGGGGGTTTTCTTGAAAACATCATGCATACGTTTAGGTTAGATTTTCTACATATTTCTTTCTCTTTGATTTTCTGCAAATTTCTGGGTTTGTAAACTCACAACCAGATCTTCAATTGTGTGGTATTTATGTGTGTGTGTTTTTATCTTGACGTTATAGAAATCTTCAGTCAGATTGATAGGTTTCATATGCAATTACAGGTTCCCATTCTCGATGGATCAGCGAGGGAAAGGGTGGAAGCTATCGAGCAAGTTGGGATTGCAGTTGCTATGGATTCCAATGGCAGAAATTGTGAGAAACTAGCACCATATCTTACTCAACCTGTTCATGTGTCAAAAGGAGATTCTGTAATATCAGTATTCCCTTCTAAGCAAATTAGTCTCAGTTACAGAATAAATTTCCCATAGGTAAACCTAAATCCCTTTATTTCCCTTTTATAAATCAATGTCTCAGATGCTGCCTTCCGACGAACAGGTTCTGTGAGATATCAAGCTCAACCAGCTTCGACGGAGGTGAGGAAGATGATAAGTTTATAGTGTTGATTCTCCAATTACATAATAAGGTGCGAATGTTATCATGGGAGGCCCTGCATCATCTACACATCTTTATTTTCATACTAGCCGTTGTACACATGATGTTTTCTGTTCTCACTTTTGTATTTGGAGGGGTTAAGGTTAGTAAATGATTTCCTGAAATTGTTTTCTTTTCACTTGATTGATAAGTTTATCTTTTGTAACATCTATTAATTAATAGATATGCTAATGGAAACATTGGGAAACGTCTATCAGAGAAGAAAATATCAACACTTCACAAGGTGGTTCAAGTTCGATCATTATAAAAGTATAAATATATAGCTACTATGAATATGATCTACTTCACTTTCATTTTATGGATCTCAACTGTGATTTAGCTTAATTAGATTAGAAGTAGAAAATAGTATCAGTAAGATTTCAATGCTTTTTTTTTTTGTTCTAATATTGCATGCCAAGTGTTTGTGATATTGCATCAATGAATAGACCCAATTTCTTTTATTGAATCCTAGAAGATATAAAAAGAGAGAGATATTATTACAATATAGTGCCCTATCCTAGAAGATATGAAAAGAGATATATGCTTTACCATAAGGTTCCCTCAAGACCAGGTACATACTTATTTTTTATTTTTTTGACATTGACTATCCTTTAAAGATCAATATTCCAAATGACATCATCTCCTTCTAGAGAGATTTAATTTTAAGGCTTTTCAAAGCAGTTGATTGTTTTTTATGTTTCTTTGAGTTGCTTTTAAAGATTCAGTTAAAATGATCACTTTGTTCTGTTTCTATCTTGCTTTCCTTCTAAATTGACTATTTTTTTTTTCAGTTTTACAATAACTCAAAAAAAAAAAAAATTCAAATTATTTGTATGAATGGCCTTTTATTATGTTTTCCAATTTTTATTTTTATTTTTTTTATACTTGATTTACATTATATAATATATAAAGTCCAAATTATGTGTGTGAATTCAATAAGAATAAATTACATCAAAATCATTAAATTTTTAAAAATATATGTTTGTAAATTTATTATTTAAGACCAGTGTTGCAAAACTCGGCCAACTCGGCCGATTACTTGGAATCGGCCCTCCACCGAGGCGAGTAATGTGAACTCGGCAAAAAAACTCAGATTAAGTCAAACTCGGTCAAAAATCGGTCAACATCTCTCTAACTCGGGCCTACTCGATATTACTCGGTCTTACTCGGGCCTACTCGGTCAAACTCGGCCAACTCGGTCAAAATTGGTCAAACTCGGTCAAAGGGTCAAATTGTCATAAAAAGAGAAAAAAGTCAAGAATTTCAAGATTAATATGTATAATACACTTAATGATTTATTATTTAACACACACATGTGATTATTACTATATATATATCTTAAATTTTCAGTAATTATTTATGAAGTGAGACATTTGTGTGTATTTCAGTTTTTATGTATTCACATGTATCTAATTTTGTTATATATTTCAATCAAATTATGATTTTAACTTATGATTTTGACATATATAATTTTCCTAAAAATATTTCTACATGAATTACCGAATCCGAGTATTCCCCGAGTACTCGCTACTCCCCAGTCGGCCAAGCAGGTACCAAGTAGCAAGTTCTACAACCTTGTTTAAGACTATAGTTATTATTATTATCCATGTTACTTATTATCAAAAAGGTCTGGACTAGCGCCAGTGGTCCAAAAAGGTCTGGACTACCACCCTCGACCACCCACTGCCACCGTGACCCACCACCATCCAACATCCCCTGACCTGTAATCTATTTCCCCCTCCTTCTTCGTTTTTTTACTGAATTGAGAAAACCACCAATGAAGGTGGAGACTTTCCGGCAAGGAAGACAACCCGCAACCACAGATTTCGGCCACCACCGGGCCCCACTCCACACCCATTTACTTTCTCCGCCGATTCCGACCCAATACATAGTAACCGGAGCCGCTGGAACGGACTCCAACCACCACAGTAGATCGCCGCCGCCGCCTTGCTGCTCGTTGCCGATTCCGACCAGATAGAGAGGGGTGTAGGGCACTTCAAATTAACCCCCTTCTTTTTGCAAGGCGAAGAACAACAACACACCATGAACGTCGTCCCTGCATCCAACGTCGCCGATTAGAAAAAGCCATATCAAATTTCTATGCAAGCCTTGCGAGATTCATCATCCCTACAACTAGGGTTCCGACGAGTTGAGTTGTGAACATATATCGAGGTGGGATCTTCATGTGGTGTCAAGAGGTTGGTGGTGTCCGATGGGATTCCACAGCAGCAGCGACGGAGGGCTGCAAGCCCTGCTGCTTTTGCTTTCCTGTTCCGATGGGTTTTGACGAGAGAGAGAGAGAAAGAGAGAGAGAGAGAGAGAGGTGGGGTGGGGTTTGGTGGGTTATTAGCTGTATATTTATTTTTGATTTTTTTTAATCTGAAAATCAGAAAAGCAAATAAGAAAAAAAGAAAATCATATTAATAGGGGCAAATCCATCATTTTGAAAAAATACATAATAGATTGGACCAAAAACGCAACAAAGTGAGTTTTATACCTCTGGTGCTAGTCCAAACTTTTTTGGACCAACGTGACAATTTTGAGTAATCCACAGGGACTATTTGTGCAGTTTAGTCTTTATCTATCATAATTGTTGTCACTATGCTTTATAACTTTTCACATTTGTTATAAAGAATCACTACTTTTTCTATTATCATAATTGTTGTATAAAAAAGTTTGATTTATAAATACTTTTTACAATTTTATTATTTATATTCATTTTTATTTATTATTCATATATGTCTATTACTTCCCCATTTGAATATATAATTGTTTTCTTCTATGTACTTATTTCTCTTATTTTCCAATATAGTTTAAATTTCATATAATATCATTTCTATGAATATTTCCATTTTTTAAAACTATATTCATAATTTTATTGCATTATACAAAATCATAATTTTTTTTAACATTTCTACAAAACAAATTATTGATCGGATATTCAAACCATTATGATTTCGTAGTTTTAACCTATCACTATATCATTATCAAATTACAGACAAAACAAATATATTTATAAATTATTTTAATTTTTTATTATTATTGGTCAATAATTAACTTATAATTTAATTAAAATTAAATTTATCTTTTTCATCCGTGGTGGTGAGGTGTTATAACCTACTGAAATAATAAAACAACAATAATTTTTGAGTTGCAATATGCTCCAATAAGTAGTTTGACAAGTTGACATATTTTCTTGCAAAAACTTAAGGCAAGTATTTGGCAAACACCCCAATAAACCTTTTTGTAATTCAACCATTCCCGTTTGAACCGCAAAACACTTCCCTTTCCCCCCACCTACGGCCCGGCCGCCGCCGCCGATTATAACAAAATCCAGCGATTTTTCTGGAAGATATATTTTGGCTCCTTCAAATTCGGTAAGTTCCGTTTATTGTTTTAATTTCAGACTCGAGTTTGAATTTCTAGTTACCGATGATTTTCATCAAAACCTTGAACCTTTTGTCAACGTCAAGATTGATATCGAACCAGATTGACCTTCTTGGAAGTAGTTTATTTACTCTATAATGGACTCTGAATCTCACTCTATCCTCTTCGTACGCTGTATGAATTCGAGAATATCTTGTGTGGAAACGCCACCACCGCGTCATCCATTGGAAACATGCTTATGCAAATTGCCAAATTCTATTATTCTTGACCCGAAAATGAGATTTTGTAATTCGTGTAGATCCTTATAAACTGTTTTTTGCGCCCGTGATTTGAAATAGGCAACGTTACGTGTTTATATCGGTTTCCATGTGGTTTTGTTTCCTCGCAAGCTTTTCTCTTGAATGCATAAGCTGCAACATTGATTCAATGTTATGCTGCTCTTGATTAGCCTCGTGGAGATAACTCAAGACTCCATAGAAGAAGATGATGATGATGGCCAGCCATCTACAGTAGTATCTAAAAAGAAACAAAACAATGGCATTGAAAAATAAAGTGCAAAGTATCGTAGTTTCCTGGTGGAGAAAGAATCCCCTATTGCTATCCACCTCAAGGACGCTAAATACCTCTGCAACTGGTTATGATAACCAAATCCTCAAGTCTCCTCCTCTTGTTTCCCTAGATTTCCCTGATGTATGGACTTCTAGTTCTACCAATTATAACCCTCCATCGATCCACAAACTCGGTAAACAGATTATTTGATAAACTTATCTGCTTGTCAAATTCAAATTTCATTCATATTTTTTGTGTTTGTTACATCTTACAAGCATAGCGTGACTGATATTTGAAAACAGGTAGTGATGAGAAGGAGATTGCTAGAGTGATCGATGGAAAACAAATTGCAGAGGAAATTATATCAGCAGTGGGTGTTGAGGTAAGAAGAATGAAGAACACAATTGGTGAGGTTCCTGGATTGGGTGTGATTTTGGTAGGGGAGAGGAGGGATTCCCTAACATATGTTCGTAACAAGATGAAAGCATGTGAGGAGGCTGGATTCAAGTTTGACTTGACTCAATTTTCAGATAAGTGTAATGAAGATGAAGTGATTGATGCTATAATGAGGTTTAACACAGATCCATCTTTTCATGGTATCCTCGTGCAGCTTCCTCTTCCTCAGGTAATTCGGAAAGAAATATGAATTTACTTTCTTTGAGTTGTTGAGACTTGAAACTTGAAACTTGAAACAGCATCTAAAGGAAGAGAAGATTTTGGGTGTGTTGAGACTGGAAAAGGATGTGGATGGTTTTCATCCAATGAACATGGGACACCTGGCGATGAGGGGAAGGGAACCGTTATTCATCCCATGCACTCCGAAGGGTTGTGTTGAGCTATTGATCAGATCAGGTGTGGAGATAATGGGAAAGAATGCTGTCGTCATTGGTAGAAGCAACATTGTAGGTTTACCCGTGTCCTTGCTGTTACAGGTGATTCTCTCTCTATCTCTCATGGTATATACAGATATTATTATTATTTTTTTTAATTTGGAAATTTTAATTAATTGTGGGGTCAGAGGCATAATGCAACTGTTAGTGTTGTTAATGAATCAACATCAAACCCTGAAGAAATAACACGAGAGGCTGACATTGTGGTGAGTGCGGTTGGAATACCTAATTTGGTGCGTGGAGACTGGATCAAACCTGGTGCTGTTGTTGTTGATGTTGGAACTCATCCTGTTGAGGTACTTATAAATTATAATTCCTTAATTATTTATATAAATATCAATTGAAAACATTTGAAAAAAACTTAGTTTGAAAAGAATAGTGTGCAAAACAAAGCCTTAATGCTTAAATTGGGTGTGTAGGAGGAGGGGGGTTGTGAGGAAGGAGGTTATCGGTTAATAGGAGATGTGTGCTTTGAGGAAGCATCAAGGGTAGCTTCGTCAATTACTCCTGTGCCAGGTGGAGTGGGCCCCATGACTGTTGCCATGTTGCTTTGCAATACCCTTCAGTCAGCTGCACGTAAATACAATTTTGTTTGACGAGTTGGTGTTTGGGTTCACATTTTAGGGGCTTAAGATAAAAAAGGTTTATGTATGTTGTTTAATTATTGCAAAATGTATATTCCATAATGGTTTTGGTTTAAATTAGGGAAGATTAGAATTTGTTTTAATGGTTAGTGCATTTTGCTATTACTATATGTTTTGGACTTTTTGATGTCTATTCAGTTCAAGACCTGTAAAGTTTTTATATATGCTTATTTAAAACACATATAGGTCAAAAAGTCTTACATTTTCCACCAATCAAGGCAATTTTTAGGTCTATCTATTACCTTTTGATGCCACTTATATCTATTTAGGACCAACTGATATAACTTTAGGTCAATCTAAAATATTTTTTTGACATCTACCTATATCTATTTAGGTACTCTATTGAAACCAAAAGTGTTTGTAGCTCTGTTAAGATTTGTTTGTATTTTATGTTATTTCAGAACATACAAAGGTCAATTTGGGAAATTAAGTTTTATATAAAATTATTTAAGAATATTTAGGGGACAGAATCAATTAAAGTCTTAAGTCTACACATGGCCTACTAAGATATACAGCGGACCAATTTGACACAATTTAGGACTCAATTAAGACAAGTTAGGACCTACGAAGATCTACTTAGGTCCTACTAAGTGTATTTAAATATATTTAAGTCATTTTAGATGTACTTAGATTTATTATAGGCCTACTTATATTTTTTTTTAAATTATTAAGGTCTATTTATGTATATCCAAAACCTTTAAAGTATATATTTGTGTCCAATTATCAAAACTTTTTCCAATGGTTGAACTCTTTAATATATAGTATTTTTTTAAACAAGCTAATTCTTTTTAACCTGTCTAAAATGTTATATAAAACCGTCTTATTTAATTTGTCATTTTTAAACACACATCATACTTCAATACTAGATTTTACAAAAAAAATAAAATATTAATAGATATTAATATTTAAATAATTAAATATACCATTCAAAAAGAATATGAAAAAATTTATTGTTATGAATTTAATGTCTGATAAGTAAAATATGAATTAATATCTAATAAAATAAATTAGTTAGTGAAGAAATAATAAAGATTTGAAATTATTATAGTGTAATTAGTTTTATGCAGGACTTATTGAGGTCCGTACTCCGTACTAGGGTCTTTTTAATCTATTCAAGTCGTATATTAAGATCTATCTAACCATATTCACGTCTATTTGGATATATTTATGAAAAATAAAATTAGTTAAAAGTACTTTAAGAGGTATTAAAGTGAATTACTACCCAATATGTTGTTTAAAACATGTGCACAATCCCTTATAGTTTTTACAGATACAACTTGTTAAATTGCAAGATACATAATTACATATATAGATAGATCATCATGTGATACAGACAAACACCTTGCATTAATTGTATTATTGGTTACCAAGCAATCTCACATTTCTTCATCTGTTGATTCCACAACTGGTGCTATACAGTCCACCTTGTATCGAAGGGCCTGTTAATTTAACATGTTTAAAGTCACCTATTTTATTCTTACTATTTATTTAAGTAAAACTCTATCGTTAAATTTCAATCAATCGTTAAGGTTTACTGCTTAAATTATGAAACACCAACCTTTTTAAAGAACGTTGAAAAAGAATTATCCCAAATCAGTTTATACTTGCCACCCATGATTGTACAAAAGTTACCCTGCAACACAATTCATCAAATCCTTCCATTTCATTTCCAATGCTATTTATTAAAATAATGTTAAATTCATAAGAGCCATTGCCATTTTTAATTCTGAAAATGCATTGCAGGGATAATTTAAGTTTTATTTATTTTTTCAAAAAAAAAAAAAGTTACTTACTTGGTCAGACTCATACCGCCTATAAGGCAAGATTAGCTATATAACATGAAACACATTAAAAAACCAATTAATAAAAAAAATACAAGTGAGAACATATAATAAAAAAAATTAAGTGTAATATGTGCATGGCTTAACTTACTGTTTTTTGTCCCGAAGAATTTGTGTACTCTATGCTGAATCCAATATCCTGTGCAACATTTCACATATCAACATCTGAATAATGAATAATTTCATTGCTTACTTACAATGGAAAAAGGACTTATAAAAATTATTTAATTATTTTCAACTACAAAACGCTGAAAATATATAGTAGATATGTACCATGCTAATTCTCCTTTGTGCTATGGAGAAATCCCAAGCAATGTATGAATTTACTGATTCCACCTCCAATGAAACCTTAACGGAAAAAGCATGCAATTTAAGTGATAAAGTTTTAAATACAGTGATAATATAATGTCAAGTAGAAAATAAAGTAAACAATTTGAAGTGAAAATGACTAATAAACCAATAACAAAAGTGAAACATTTGATATTGGCTAAAGAAATACCTCAAAAGTTGTCCCTGCGAGGACACTTGTTTCTCTATAGTCATCATTTTTACTACAAAAAAAAAAAAATAATAATAATAATATAAGATAATAAATCATTTCAATAATTCATAATACAAGGTATATAAAGGACGATTTAAGTTTTAACACTTACTTTGCTTCTATTGCGCCAGCTTCCTCAGCTGTAACAAAGAAAGGAGAATTTGCAAAAACTTCCCTGTAAAAACATATATAAGACACTTTTCATCATGTACAAAGTACAAACCAATACCAATATGCCATGTGTCCTTCAATCAACACAAACAAATAAGTAACAACAGAGAATCATTCATTACCCAATGAAACTCAAGAATCTTTCCAACTCAGACGCATAGACATTAATCGCTTCTTCTAACATAGATATTTGATGCTTTTCCCTGGTTATTATAATAATTTGTAAATGAAAATCAAATCACTTGTTGTACAACTTAAAAACTAATAAAGAAAAAGAATGATGAAGCTCACAATTTAATATCTTGAAAGCGTAACCATGACAAAGAAATGAAAAGGTGAATATTAAGCACCAAATTTGTAAGGGCATACATAGGGGGCCCATAGCGATACCTCTGTTCCTCCATTGGCCTAAATATGTAACAATTTAGCAACTCAAGACCAAATTTTTATAGTTTTTTTTTTTAAATATTTTTATAGAAAAGAACATATATACCCTTGATCATCATTTATCTGCTTTACAAAATCCAGTAGAACCTGTGGCACACCTACTAAGTATTTCACAACCGTCTTATACACACCTGCAGCTGAACCCAGTTGAGCTAACTGTCTTCTCCTGGACACAGATACTTTTATTATATATAATAATAATAATAATAATAATAATAATTACCTTTCCATTTGTTGGTGCCATAGGAGAGCATATTTATCGCGTATGGATCCACCAGATGTTACAATTGCATCCACTTGAGCTTTTTTATTCCTCTCAGAGCGCTCTCTTTGTTGTCTAATTAGTGCACCTCGAAAGTCTTGAGGCATATATGTCATAACTGTTGGCATTTATTTAAAAAAAAAAAACATCAAGACTTGAATATCACCCCATAATTGGAAAACAAAAAAGGCTCTGAGAATACTAACCTGTGTTGAACACGTTTTCAGAACTCTTGGATTGAAAGGATTCCAAAACCTTCAATATACCTTTACATTTATCTTTTAGCTTTTTAAGAAGATGACCAAGTTCAACATCTTCGGGTGTGGACTGATCTTGAAGCTGATTTTTAAACAAACAGGAAAACTTCTTTAAAACTCTTTTGCTAAATGGAACTAAATTCAAGATGTAGTCTACAAGAATTTAAAAAACTTTGATTCTCACAGATTTTGGCCAATGAGAGCGTTCTAGCAAGAAAATGATTTCTTCAATCTGCTCTCGATTTTTCCACATATTCTCATCAATTTTATGTGGTGGCTGCATCTCCACTTCTTTTATCAACAATCTTTCTCCTGAACTCAATGGACATTAGGGTTTTATGCACAACCAAAAGGGGCACAAAGCCTAAATAGTACTTATAGCATCTCAAGAAAAAAAATCCTAATTGATCTTCTAACAAGAGAAATATCCTTGTTGATCTTCTATCAAAAGCCATTTTACAGTATTACGAGTAAGGAATTGTGGAATTACACGACAGAAAACGAAAATAAGCGAGGGAAATAAATAATCGAACCTTCTGGAAGCGGAAGGGAAGTCTTCCGCAGATGGTCGGAACAGGTGTGAAGCTGTTGGGAAAGGCGGGAAACGTCGTCGGAAATGGGAGGAAATTGGTGTTTATCATAGTAAGAAGAAAGAAAAGCTCTGGTTATGGGAAGCATACCACCTTTGGAAGGCATTCTAATTGATAATTGATTGATCACTCAGATCAGGCTCTGCTCTGTATAACTAACTAGTGCTGCTGCATTGATTCACTTTGTAGTATGCAAAATTCATCGATCTTCTTCTTCATCCAGAAAGGTATAATTATCTGTTGGGGACTATAAAGTAATGAAATTTGAGGATAGAGAAAAGAGAATATCCTGAGTTTAGAAGAAGATCCTGCTCGGTGGCGGTGGGTGACGAAGGAAGAAAAGGAACCACCAACTTTACCGTTACGATTCGGTGTTTCCATTCATTTATGTTTCTTTCGAAGTTGGTTAACTCCATCACCATTTATTTTCAAAATTTCACTTTTTCCGTTTTATTAATATTATTGGTACAAACTACAAACTAAAAAACATTCAAAATACAAAATAATGTTCCTTCAAAATTTAGGGAAAATACAAAAAAAAGCAGTATATTTTGCCAAAAATTCGGTTTAACCATCAGTTTTTAATAATTTATGAGAAAACCACCAATTTTTAGTAAAATGTTTCACTGAGACCACTGGTACCTATTATAGCCGGTTTTGCAAGTTAATTACGAAAAACTACTATATTTTATCACTATTTACGATTTAACCACTTTTTTTTTATATTTTTTCTATTAAAATGAAAAGTTTTGAGGTTATATTTCATCATTATTTATGGTGCATCAACAAGTCCATAACAACATATTTTTAACGCTATAAATACATAATAAGTGGTCAATTGAACAATATCATAACACCAACCATATGATATATTGTTTAACAAAAGCTAATGCATCACAAAAGTGGGGTTGGTTTCTCAAAAATAGGCCAATTAACAAATCATGTAAGGCCAAACAAAACACATCAAAAAGAGCAATCTATCATCTGCCCACCTAACCTATCAACCCACTATACAACTCCCAAAATCTATTCAATTGCTAAAGGATTTTCTGATGCAGACCCTAATCCATCAATTTTCTTTCCAAGTTTGGCTATCCTCTCAGATGGCCTTCGTTTTTTTATTGTAACTTGTGGTTGTGTTTCGTCTATTCCTTCCTCTTCATCATCTTCAGTATGCTCAGCTGCAACACATCTAGCAATCTCATCTTCGGTGTATCCACTTTCCCTTAAATCTTTGATGCTTTGAGTCTCATGTACCATTTCAGCATCAACATCAGCTTGTGTCTCAAGAACTTGTTCCTACAGTACAGAAATAAATTAGTTACATTTCACTTCCAAAACAACCCTAAACACAATCCCAAAACAGCCCTAAGACACTCCCAAAACATCCCCAAAACTGTCTATAATAGCCATAAAAAACAGCCCTAAAACACCCTAAAACATCCTAAAAACACCCAGAAAAAACAGTCTAAAAACAACCCTAAAAACACCGTAAAATACCCAAAAAATAACCTAAAACAATTCAATAGCTAGATGGAATAAGACATACCATGGTTTCTTTAGTTTGTTGCATTTCTTGCACAAGCATTTGTTGTGTTTCTTCTTGCACGTTGTTTCCAAGACTTCCTCTTGCCCTTCCTATCCCCCCTCCTTTTGCCCCTCTACTTGACCTACTTTTCCTTGAACGTCTCTCAGATTCATCAACAGTCCTTGGCCTACCCTTTCTCTTTGTTTCTTGTGGTGGGAGTACCTGTTTCGGATTTTTACATGATCTGATATTGTGTCCAATTTCAAAACAATTTTTACATGTTATCACTCGACTAGTGGCATACTTATCATTCTTCTCGGACACGTGCCTCTTCCGTTTCACACTAGGCCTTCCAGGCATTTTTCTATCCTTTGGAGGTAATGGCTTCGTATAACTAGTCACCTCCCACATATTACTACCATTGAGAGGTAGAATGTTATCTTTGTAAGCTTCAACAAACATTGACTTTTTAAAGTAAAAAGAGACTTTGCTTTCTGGACTTATATGAAATGAGTAAAATGTGGCACAAGCATGCAAACACGGGTATCCACATAGCTCCCATGACCTACATGTGCAAGATTGGTTTTCAATGTCTACCTTATACGCTTCAAAACCACTCCTAACTTCAAAATAGTTTCCCCCACTTGGAAAGACATTCCAATACCTAATATTAATGAAACATCAGTTAGTAAACACACCAGTTACTTACAATCATAAGTAAAAATAGTCTAATACCTTAAACTCTTTTTGAAAATTGCCATTTTAAGCGGAACTGATGGGCAAAATGTCCCCTTCCCATGTTTCATGTAGCTTAGACATTGTGTTAAACCTGTTCATCATGTATAATCGAATTTCTTCCAACATTGTAATAATCGGCTTCTTCCTTGCTTTATCAATTACAAAATTAAATGACTCAGACATCCCGTTCTCAACTGCTTCACATGCCTTTCCTGATGCAAAGAATGCCCTACACCATGACTTAGGGTTCATGGCCATCAAATGTTCATATGCTCCTACACTGCAATACAAAGGAAACAAAAAAATATAACACATATTAAACATACAAAATTTTATATATATATATATATATATATATATATATATATATATATATATATATATATTGGCGTGGCATACATTATTGCCTTAATGGCATTCATGTGCTCCGTGAACTGCACTTCAGCAGTGGATTTCGCAGCTAGCCAAAAAAGTTTCTTTAATACCACACTAGGGTATGTTTTCCTCAGGTTGGCATAGATATGCCTCGCACACTGTCTGTGCTATGCATGTGGAAGGACCTCCTTTACTGCCTCAATCAATCCTTTGTGTTGATCTGAAATAATAGACAACTCCATACCGCCGTTTACTCCAAGGTCGTCACTCAACAATTCGATAAACCATTTCCAGTTATCTTTATTTTCTATGTCTACAACCGCCCACACAATAGGGTATATGTGATTATTTTCGTCTCTGCCTACAGCAGCAAGCAACTCACCCTTCACTTTTCCCTTTAAGAAGCAACCATCCAGTCCAAAAATCCTTCTACACCCTCTATTCCATCCATCTTTCAATGCTTTGAAGCATACATAAAATCTATGAAAGTAGTTTCCATCAGGGTTAACATGAACGCCTAACTGCACAGTAGATCCTGGGTTCGATCGTGTAATCTCATTTGCATAATCCCACAGCCTCTCATAGTGCTGAGTAAGCTTGCCTTCAATCATTGTTTGAATTCTTATCTTGGCTCAACGACATTGACTCTTGCTTACCTTACAAAAAAACGTCTTCTGTATATCATCTTTGAAGTCATCCAATTTCATATTGGGCTTAGCAATGAACTCCTTCAAGTAGTGTTTTGCAATCCAATCTGGGTTCACAAGTGCACCAAAATCATAACTTCTAATGCATAAATGTTTCCCCACAATCTTCTTTATTTGAAAAGATCGATCACGTCCCATCCATGACGCCCAAAGAACAAATGGACATGTTTTTCCATCTCCTGCTTTGCCACATTTAACTTGTATCCTTTTATTGTCACATCTTGTAAATCGTAAAGGATACCCATTTGCCACCGCATAATTGGTCAAAGCAAATTTCAGTTGTTGTGGGCTCTCATATATTTCTTTTTCTGTTGGTTTCATAAGACTCCATTTAGTCTTTGAGTTGTGGACAGGAAATTCATATTCAATCCCTTCTTCATCATCATCAGCCTTTGGTATACTTGGTGACCCACCTGATTCTTCCTCATGCCCAAGAGTTTCAGCAAATGAATTGGACAGCTTGCCATTATCACATAACAAATTGAGAAACTCATCATTTTGAGTTGTAACATCCTAAAATTTAAGATAAGGTTCTTAAATTAATTAAGTAATTAAATAAAGCATGATTTACGTAATTAAGTCATTTAAATGATAATTATATCATTAATTGATATAAAGCTTAGAAAGTTAAAGGTTGAAATGTTAACATTTCAGAGTCAAGGGACCAAAAGTGCCAATTTGGCAAAGTGTGTTTGACCAAGGGTTGACTCAACTAATGAAAGTGATTAAAAAAGTTATGTAATGGATGGAGAGGGACTTAGGATGTCTATTCTCAAAGAAAAGTCACTTATATTGGAAGAATGGACCATATTTGACAGAAACGAGAAATTAGAGGGACTAAATGTGAACAAGTGGGAAATAAGATGAACACTCCCTTCTTTCTCTTCCAGTTACGTATTAAGCATGCTAGAGAGCTTCAAATGGCGATTTTCTTCTCCTTTCAATCTAGGGTTCGATCGAAGTGAAGAATGAAACAATCAAACAAAGGAGAGAATGAATCAAGGCTTGAAAGGTAAAAATTTTCTCATCCTTTAGCTTAGAATTCGAATTTGTGAAGTGGGTATAATCCCCAATGTCGAATTTGATTGGGTTTAATGATTAGGGTTTTGGTTTCTAACCTCTCTTGAGTTGTTTTGATGATCATAATCTCAATCCAATCATCCCATTGATGGATTTGAGGATTTAGGTAAAAAGCTTCATGAACCCTAGAAAACCCAAATTGGGGATATTGCAATTGATGATGAAATGAGATTGGATTCTATGACCTAGATGATATTTGATAGCAATAAACCAATTGTAATGCTCAAATTCATCCATGATGGTAGAATCAAGCATAAAGATGGGTTTTAGATGGTTAGGTGAGAAATTGTGATGAATACAATGAAATTGTTGGAATGTGAGCATTTGATGAGTATATGATACTCATAATCATGAGTTGATACTAAAAATATGATTTGAATGCAATAACATGAAGGCTTGAGTGATTTATGGTTGAATTTATAGAATATTTTGGGCGTAAGGGTATTTTGGGAAATGTATAGATTACTACAAAAAGTTTGACATCTAAGAAGTGAATGACATTCATGAATTTGAATTGACACTATAGAGATGATATTGGAACATAAACACGAAGGGATGCTAGTAAGGTTCTAGCTTTAGTGATTGTTTTGATCCAAAGGGTAATTTGGGAAACATGGAATGGAATCGAGGATTCCATGGTTAGTTTAAGTACTTGCAATGAGATTAATGGTGGTTTAATCTACTTGACAACACCCAATGATGTATTAAATGATTTGGGAATAAGTCATATTGGTTAAAGAGTGTTTTTGAGCAAATTGAGCTCTTAACCCTTTCATTTGAGTGTTTGTAAGCATTATGAACTTAACATTTTGATTGAGAAATTTATGAATTAAGTTGAATATTTTGACATGATAAAACATCTTTTAGTAGTACTTGGAAACCCTTATAAGTGTTACAAATGGTTACCTAAAAGACCAAAACCACCCAAGCAAGTTTAGGACTCAAAAAGTGAGTTTTTGGGGGGTGTTTGAGCTGCTACGGGACGCGACCCGCGTGGTCGTGCACGCGGCCCGCGCACATACAGCAGATTGCCCGGCTAGACGAAACTTTAGTATTTTCCTCATAACTTTTGCATACGGACTCGGATTTACACGCGGTTTTCGCCTACATTCATATTTGTGCATAAGGAATGAGATGAAACAATAAAATTTAGTAATGGAACCTTTGAGGGGTATTTTGGTCATTTTAATGACTTGTGTCCATGTTATATAGGTGTTGATTGAGAGTGCTTCAATAAGGAAATGAACTAGAAGAAGACTAGCTATCCTATTTATGATTGAGGTGAGTACGTGTTGGCATTTTTCCCACTTTGGGGTACATGGCAAGATGATTTTATGATAATGAAATGCAATGCTTTGATATATGAATTGTTTTGAAACGAAAGCGGCAAATGTTTTTGGAAAGGGTATTTTGAAAGAGTGCCTTAAAGGAAAGAATGTTTTTGAAAGAAAAGAATGTTTTGGAAGATCGAATGTTTTGAAAATATGATTGAAATGTTTTGAATTATAGATGCTTTACTTTTGAAATGATTTTATGATACTAATGTATGAAATGTGTAAAGCATGGAAAGTAATGAAAAGAAATGTAAAGTAATGAAAAGGAATTGAAAGTAATGAAAGGAATTTGAAAGTAATGAAATGAAAACTGCCCGGGCCATGATACCTCATAAGAGGCACTGGAGGAATCTATCGGGGTGGCGCCTCCCCTTCGCGAGATAGATGTCCTATTATGATACCTTGGTGGATTGATTTGTTCTTTCCACCTTGGCCTTGGAAATGATGTCTTGGTGGATTGATTTGTTTTTCTACCTTGGTCTAGACTTGGGAGTGGTTCCTTTATTGGACGTAGACCCTAAGTATAAAAATGGCAACGGTTTAATACCGGAATTAGCCCTTAATGATAAAAGGAAATGGAATATGGAAATATGTCTTTTGAAATGAAATGATAAGATATGAAATGAGATGAAATGATATTTATGATGCGTACGAAACAAGTTTTCCTTGAAAATGCTTGAAACTGATTTATGGTCTAAAACTATGTTTTGCAAAGATTAAACGTTTTTGATGAAAAGTGATAAGTTTTGGGTCACAAACCCACGTAGCTCACGAGACATTTTTGTCTTACGTATCTCTTTTTAATGCCATGTATTCCAGGTTGCAATTAAGGAGAAAACTGATAGATGGAAGTTAGAAGATTAAGAGATAGAGAATGGAGTGGAACTTGTTAAGTTCCTTATTTAATGTTATTGATGTAATTCGTATTTCCTGGCTATGGTTGTATGATGCTTAATCGTAACACCCAAGGTTTTAATTGTAATTATTTTTGTGGGACCGGTTTTATGTTAAATGGGAGTTAATACCCAAATGTTTTTATAACCATAGCATTTGAAAAAGTTTTGAAAAATTTAGGGTGTTACATGAGTAAAGTTCAAACCCCCTGCTATTTCATCTTCAAGAGTTACATCCAAACTTTCATCATCATTGATTCCATCATCACAGTCACCACTAAAATCATGTACATTTGCAGATGATTCCATTACACACCTGCCATAACATAATAATCAATGTTACAAAACATATATTGATGGATTAAAACAGGAAAAAAGACTCCCCAACTCGAACCTGTTATTAAACCCTAAAACCGAGCCTGACAGGAAACCTTAAAAGCAGATACGAAACCTTAAAACTCCAAAGAATTCAAAACACTGAACCCTAAATTCGATTTTGACATGAAACCCAAAAAACGAAGCCCTAATTTGCAATGTACTGTGTTCGATTCACTAAAAAGAATTCAAAAACTTGGTAAAGAAACCAACCTGCTTCGATTCTGTAATCCTTTCAGACGATCGGCTTTAATGAAGCTTCAATGTCGATCGATTGGGGGTTGCATCGACTTCACAGTAAAATCATCCCGCTCGTTTGTTGGAGGAGTATCGAATTTGTTTTTAGTGTATGTCTATTAGCCTCAAATGCCACGAATTAATCTATAACCTGTTTTACCGGCTGCTTCAAGTCATAATGGTTGGGTTAAAACGTTTTTAAAAAATATGATGGTTTTATTACAACAAATGAAAATATGATGGTTAAACCGACCCAAGTTACAAAATATAGTGCTTTTTTCGTCATTTTCCCCAAAAATTTATTGTTTATCAACTATCAATCATACAAGCATTATATTTCTAGTAATATTTCTTTCTCTATACAGTAATTTAATTTTTATAATATAATTTTCTAAAATATAAATCATTGTATGTAGAGAAAAAGTGTTGGCGTACGAAAGCAACTATTTGTTTTCGTTATCCATTTTATTGTTCGATGTTTTTGTTTTTTTTTTTTTAAAACACTATCCTCATTATAAATTGAAATCATCGTATGATAAATTTAATATTGTTGGGATTATTACATGGCATTTGAAGCGGAAAAAAAGAAAAAAAAAATACAAAATCAAAAAATAAACTGATAATAATGACTTATGTATTCTCCTACTTCATTTAACTTCTCTTTTTAAAAACAAGAAAATTTGTAAGGTATGTGATTTGAAGCATCGCCTAGTAGGGTTGTGGTGAAGTTTTTTCATTAAATCAATGTAAAAGAAAAACTTGTTATAGTAAAGTTTTTTCAATTCGTTTTTATATGGGCGTTGTATAAGTTATATCTATAATTTGTGAACCTATGAGACCCATTAAATCAATGAAAAAAAAATCATATTAAGAACTTATTAATTAACAAGCTCTCATAAAAATAATACCTAATTTTGAAAAAGCTCGTGTAATATCTTCTTCACAAATATGTCCCTACTTTGGTTTATAACTTTTCTTTGCATATATTTAGATGAATACTCAAGTTTGTTAATTTAATATATTAATATATTTTGTAAATATTTTGTTTGATAAATATAAAGCATTTTCAGATTTATGTTCATTTTATAGTATAAATCTTTTTACTACTTGATATTATTATTATTATTGTTATATTTTTTTCTATTATAAAACGACAAACACAACACACTCCTTATATTACTTCTAAACTACTTATTTTGTCTCCAACAAGACTATAACCCTTATCTTTTTCTATTAATCTCTCGCTGATTGACACATTTCCACAAACATCCGATACCGCTAGGCTACATGCCTTTTGGTTACATAAGAATCTATTTGGTCACTCTTCAATACACAGTAATATTCATTATGTGTCGTTTCATTCACTTCTCATAACAGCAATAGAACGCCAACACCAACACTATAAATTTGATTGGCTAATAGTTCTATTTAAATTTGTGTATCCTTAGAGAAATGCAAGTGTTCATTGACATCTTTTTCGACTCGGTATTCCATCAAGAAAAGTCGTGTTTCTTTTTTTCCACCTACTAAATCTTGAATTGGTAATGTATGTAATGTATAATAATATATGTGTAGCAGTGTAGATAAAGTTTTAATGGAATAATTTTGGACCGAATACATTGTCTAAATTTGAACAAATGAATATTTTATCTTCCTATTTAAAATTGAAAAATAACAAATGACCATTTATTTAGTAATTGTTCTAAATTAAAATTATAAAAACTCAAATTAAACAATCTTAAAAAGTAACATGATTAGTAAATTAAATTGAGCACAATTTTAAAATAAGTTTAAATAAAAAAAAGTATATCCAACAATTAATATTTACACATATCATAGTGAAACGTACATTAATCGATTCAATTCAAATTGATGAATTGAATTGGATATCTAATTACAATTTGATTGGATCGTTTTCGAAATTTCAAAATCAATTTGATTAGATCCGTTATTGGATCGCCCTGAAAATCCAATAGATAATTGAAGCAATCCAATTAGGTATACAATATTAAAACAAAACATTCACATGACTAATATTATAAAAGCCCTAAATTTTTAACGCGTAGTTGGAAAAAGCTCTGATATTTTTTTTATTATTGCTCTGGCCACAACTTTCTCGCAGAATTATCACTCTAGCCCACTTAACAAGTTTCATGGTTAACTTGGTTAACTTTTTTGTAAAATCAGTCCTAAAATGTTTAAATTTGGTCCCTGATGTTTGCAAAAAATTACACCATATGATTTTCTAACTTTATTTTTCGTTTTTTTGTATACTTTATTTATTTTTCGGGTTTTTTTATAAATATATATACATTTTTTATTTTCTTTTTTTATATATACTTTATTTATTTTCATTTTTTTTAACTTTTTAACAATTTGATTTTTTTACCTTTTGTTTTCTATTTTTTTAGTGTATATATAGAGTATATTAGAGTTTTTTTCCTTTTTTTTTGTTTTTTTGTTTTTTCTTTTCGTATTATATTTTTACTTTTTTTTTCATATTTTTATTTATTATTTTTTTCTTATTTGTTTTCCAATTATTTGTTTTTTTTTTTGTATTTTTAACTTTTTTATTGACCTTTTTCGAAAAATGTAAAATGTATTAATATATTAGAGTATATTACAATTTTGATAATTTATAGTTTTTGTAATTTTTTTTATTTTTTTTCAAGTAAATAAAATAGTTATGCTTATATTTGTAATTTCGGTCCAGCTTATTTTCTTTTTATTCTTTTTTTCTTTAGTGTTATTATATTTATATTATGAAAAAATGAAAATTAAAAAAAATTAGCTTGTTTATTGAGAATTAGTGTTTCAATGTGCTGTATAATTTGCAAATTAAATCATATTTCTATATATGATATCAATAGTTTAAATTCAAGATAATATTTTTCAACTTGATAATAGACTAAAAGAAAGAACAAAAAATATAATAATAGTCGGTCTCTATAAAAAAACTTGTTATAGTAATTTAAATTAAATTCAAATTCGTTTACTTGAATCAAAATAAATAAAAACATTAGAAAAACCATAAATAACTAAAATAGAAAACAAAAGGTAAAAAAACAAATAAACAAATTGTTGAAAAATAAAGTTAAAAAATGAAAATAAATAAAGTATATAAAAAAGAAATAAAAAATGTATATATATTTATAAAAAAAACCGAAAATAAATAAAGTTTACAAAAAACGAAAAATAAACTTAAAAAACCATGTGGTGTAATTTTTTGCAAACATCAGGGACCAAATTTGAACTTTTTAGGACTGATTTTGCAAAAAAAATTAACCAAGTTAACCATGAAACTTGTTAAGTGGGCTAGAATGATAATTCCGCAAGAAAGTTATGGCCAGAACAATAATAAAAAAAATATTATGGCTTTTTCCGATTATACCTTAAAAATTTAGAGCTTTTATAATATTAGTCAAACATTCAGATTCAAAAGGTATGTCATAAATGATAAGTGATAAAGCGTTTAGAAAAAGCTATTCGGCTGTTATATTCAATTTTCACTCTCCGCAGCTCTCAAGTCTCAAGTAACCTAACGACTAACGAAAAGAGAAGCCTCTTGCCGCCATTCCTGATCAATCTTCCCCTCCTGCTTCTATTTCCACCGGTAAGAATCTTTTTTCTTCGACAATTTTTCATATATCCATGAATCGTATGTGTGATTTTGCTCTTGACTCTGTATGTGTGATTTTGGGTTGTTATGTGAATTTGGTTCTTTTCCTCTATTGTGATCATCCATACGATGACCCATTAAGCATTCCGGTCTGGACCATTTTGCCCCTGGGTTTCTACACAACTGTTGGAGCTTAGTTAGCCTCTTGGTCAACCGGGCTCTCCCCATCTCAATATAAATTGATAAAGACAGGCCACATAATGACCATTTTGACCTTGGAGTTTCTTTTGTCCCACTGTAGGTTTGATATATAAGCGCACTTTAGGAGTTGTAATATATGATTCTTATGAATAACTATTATTCAATCTGTATTAGTTTGTCTCTTATTATTATTCCTTTGTTTAATTATTATCAGCCAACATCAATGTACCTGATGTCACCAAACAATACCAGTGGGTCTTAATCAAGCAGAAAAGAGTTCCAAAGAAAGCTCTCAACTTAAACCTGTACAAATGAAACGTAAGAAAAGAGAGTCGTCTGGAGCTATAAAGCTTGAGGAGTTTCTAACTCAACAAATTGCTTTTCAAAAACGTGTTTTAGAAATATTAGAGTCGGATTTCTCTTCTATCAGCCAAAGCCATGATTTTGGTATAAATGCAGCTGTAAATCTGATTAACCGAATGGTCAATGATGAAATAATGACACAAGGAAGCGAGTTGTGGTGCTTTGCAATGTGTTTATTTGAAGATGCAGTGAAGAGGGAATTATTTATAAGTCTTCCGGATGATGATGGCAGATTGGCATGGCTGAAGTATAAGAAAGACGTTGGCAAATAAATTTACTTGTTTAACATTTCATTACGATCAGATTAAATTAGTTTGTTTGTTTATTTTCATTTGGATACTTGATACTTGTTTTATTTCAATTTTTAATGCTACATCTATGATTTATTATGCCTTGTGTTTTAATGAATTATAACTTTAATAATATTCCTACATATTTTATGCTTATAACAATCAACTTTAATAGGTACAAACGCTTAAATGGATGTTGAAAGAAAGAAGAGGAAAAGAAAACTTTATTGTTTACAATTAATATTGAATTCATGCTCTACAATTGGCATTGCTTTTGAGTACTTTTATAAGTATATATACAAGGTACCTTGTAAGACATCAACTCAAATGGGAGAGGTTCGGATGAAGGAAAATTTAAATGAAAATCCAATTGGAAGTGTTAATGCATTTAGAATGCATCCAAGTGTGTTCATGAAGCTCACTCAAGAACTTGAATTAAAATGGATTACAGTCAAGTGATAACATGTTAACCTGTTGAAAAGTTAGGGATATTCATATACACACTTGCAATAGGTTTGTTTAATAGAGATGTTGGGGAGCAATTTCAACGATGTTTTAGAGGCAATAACTTCTCGAGGCAAAAGTTTCATTGATATAGCACGTGACATTATACGTGTAACATCCCAAAATTCAAGAGCAAAATTTTCATTTTTGATTTAACAATTCATAAAACAGATTATGGAAAACATCATCGAGTTATCTCATTTCATAAAAACCATAGATCATACGTCTCAAAAGCATGTCATAAGATAATAATAACGTCAGAGTACAAATCCCAAGAACATCATAGTGCGGAAAATCGTGGTGTGATGCGTTGCTATCATGCCGGCTCCTTTCCCTTCGAGGAAGAAGGACCTGAAACAAAATCTGAAAACCTTAAGCAGAAAGCTTAGTGAGTTCCCCCATCATACCACATACCATACAATAAACCTACTGTCTAACATGTACTGGACTACCCATTCGGTCTCTTTCAACCGGTAACTGTCTAACATATCAGGGTGTTGGCCTACCCCTTCGGTTTCTTTCAACCGGTAACATGCCTAGCATATCAGGGTGCTGGCCTACCCCTTCGGTCCTTTCGACCGGTACCTCGCCTAGCATATCAGGGTGCTGCCCTACCCCTTCGGTACTTTCGACCGGTACCGGGACTATTTCACCCCCTACTTCTACCATATAACATTCTAGTATATAAACACATAAGTCACATATTGCCTAGCTTATCAGGGTGCTGGCCTACTCCTTCGGTCATTTCGACCGATATTGGGGCCTATCCTACCCCTCCTACCACTATCACATAATATCATAGCATACTAGCACATAAAGCATAACAGATAGTGACATACCAGATAATTATCACAAAGACAATAATCTCTACTATAACTCTTACTAGTGAGTCGGCATTGGTGCCTTCGACTCAAATCTACTGTAAGGTAGCTCACCTCGATAACTAGGAAATAGCTGCAAAGGCTCCTGCTCTGAAATCAACTCTTCTCAGACTCCTACACATAAGCATTTCCTTTAATTACCATTTTCATACTCATAACCCCTTTAAGGGTCAACTTTGGTCAAGGTTAAAGTCAAAGTCAACATCCTGGTCAAATTCAACATCCTGGTTGATTCAACTCGCCGAGTTGGTCCATCAACTCGTCGAGTTTCATGAATCAGGAACCCTGAATCACGATCCAACTCTTCGAGTTCCTCCTGTCCAAAGAATCGGGACTTCTCCAATCAACTCGTCGAGTCATCCGTGAACTCGTTGAGTTTTTACCCTTTACAGACTCGAGATTCTACGACCCAACTCGTCGAGTTCCTTTATGGACTCAACGAGTTCTTCAGTCTGTTGAACCATCTTAATAGATTAAGCTCTTATCCTTCAGATCTGGACTCCACACTTCTTCTACACACTCAAAATGTCCTTTTAAGGGTAAAGTTTCCAACTTTACCCGTTAATAGCTTCCTTTAATGGATTTAGCTCAAACCCTAATTCTTCAAGATCTAGATCTTGATCCAAAAGCCATATATACTTCGAACTAAGGCATACAAACTAAGATCTAGACCCTAGACGTCATTTGAACACGTAAAGTTTCTGCCTTTAACTCCATGCATGGCCTTTTGGGGCTTAAAAGGCCAAAATGACATCTTAGAGCTTGCATGGGGCTCCAATGGCCATAAAGTTTGCACCTTTATGCCATAACAGCCCTTCAAGGTCCTAGATCTGGTAGAATACCCACTTGGGTCGTCCATTTCCCAAAAGCTAACATATTTGGACCAAAAAACCACATAAAAGGGAAGCGAAGAAATCTAAGAAATCATTGAGCAAGTTTGAGACTTGCTTACCCAAAAATGCTGCAAATGAAGTGAAGTTTCTGGATCTACTCTCTTCTTCTTGAGTCCTCTAGCTTCCTTTTCTTCCTCAAGCTTCAAAAGCATAAGTTTTCTCTCAAAAAGGTCTCACAAACTCACGCAAGGCTCTAGGGTTTCGTGGCTAAGGTTTTGGGACTTGGAGGCTGTAAATGAGGCCAACCTTTAGGGATTAATGTGTTTAAATAGGGTGCAAAACCTTGAAATTAGGGTTTCACTCTGCCAGCCCTACTCGTCGAGTTGGGGCTCTCAACTCGTCGAGTAGGTTTTTTAACCCGCGTCCCAAAATAATTCCTACTCGTCGAGTTTGGTGTCTCCAACTCGTCGAGTTCTCATATAAAAGTGAATAAATTTATTTAAAATACATACCAGGAACTGAACGTTACAATACGACTAAAAGATCCAACCTTTCAATTTATACCATTGCAAATAAAAAATGATAAAAGATACATGTCATATTTTAAGGTATTATATTTGTATGTTTCTTTTAATTTGTTTAATACCATACGTCATTCTTATTACTTGTTATTATTATATTTTATAAAATTGAACTTTAGGATTGCATTGGATGTATCGATGGTACACACATAGCCGTATGCATCCCTGGAACTCAACAGTTGCGGTATATCGGTAGAAAAGGGATACCAACATTTAATGTAATGACAACTTGTGATTTTGATATGTGTTTTACCTTTGCATTTGTTAGATGGGAGGGGTCTACACATGACACGCGTGTTTTCCTTCATGTCATTAAAACACCATCAATGAATTTACCAAAACCACTTGAAGGTAAATTGTCATTATTATCTTTATTATTTGCCTAATATGATATAAATAACTTTTTAAATTTTTTTTGTTCACCAATTTAATAAGTAGATATTATTTGGTAGATAAAGGTTATATATATATATATATATATATATATATATATATATATATATATTTCAAGGCAAGATACCATTAATATTAATTTAAAAATAAGCCTCCAAGTAATATGCAAAAAGCTTTCAATTGTTCTTTTTCATCACTACGAAGTTATATTGAAAGGTCATTTGGAATCCTAAGAGTCAATGAAAAATACTTCATCGAATGCCCAAATTCAGTGGGCAAACTCAAATTGACGTTATTATAGCTATATGTGCCCTGCATAACTATAATCATCGTAACTCTCAGCAAGCAACGGTTTTTATTTCATTGAACTATATCCAGATTACATACCACATGATGAACCCCATGATGTTCGCAATAATGACACAAATAATGAAGACTTTTACGAAGGATCTAATAATATGAAGTGTGTCATCAACGATATTGTTACTTTAATATGGAATGCTCGATGTCGATGATTTTATCAATAATTTTTACGTTGCAATATGACTTTTGAAATTATAGTTTAGACAACCAATTTTTTTGTTTATTATGTTTCACGGTTAGATTTTAAACGGATACTATTTTATGTAATTTTATATATTTGAAAAGTTTCCAAATATTTTTTGTAAATATTTATAATAAAAACTACAGTTTCCAGCTAGTTTTATCTTACGAATTGATTGAGTTCAAGTGATTGTGGCATGATTTAACGATAACATAATATGATATAACTTACCGAACATCAAACATATATCAAATAATGATGAACTTAATACTTGATTCCAGAACACAAATCAATACCATTGAAGTATTTAAGAAGTAGTAACACAGTTGCAAAAATAACAATAAAATATAAGCTAGATAGGGAGTTTCCCAATAAAAAATGCTCATTCTCTGCAAAAACAAGTACAGTCTCATTATTATCTATACTTATACTTTGAATAAATATATGAGAATTAATCTAGAAAACATGAGCAAATGTTCTGTGTCACATGTACAAGTTTTGAATCTGAATGTCAGGGAGAAGCGCAAGTGGTGCAGTTGCAGGTTTTGGGGACGAAAGCACACACACCGAAGGGCTTGTTAGGAAGCTGACAGTCTATGCCAAAACAGCACGGCATGTTTGTGCAGGTGGTTGGATCGGAGGCCATCACACAACACCTGCACATCAAGCATACCTGAAACGGCCCAAGCATCCTCCGGCCACCCTCCAACACCCTGTAACTGTAGTCATCCACCGGCACTGGCACTACTACATGATGTTCAATCTCCGATGAATGGCCATGGGTTTTGCAGATGATCGGAAGAAGCAGCAAGAAGAGGATGCTGTATCTGGACATGGCTCCGATTTCCGTTAATTCACACTTGAAACTTAGAGAGTGAGAAAGAGAGAAATAGAGTATGAATGAGTTTTTTTTTTTTTTTTTTTTTTATAAATTATGTGGTTTAGAAAGGTCGAGGAAAGAGAGCGATGAGGGAATCTTGATGGCAATAGCAGTCTCACTGTAACCCAAGATGTAGTTTGCCTGGCCTAGATGATGCAATGTTTGTTTTGTATCGCATCATGCATGTTAATTAGAGCATCATAATTCATAATGCATAACCTTTTTTTATTTTACTTTCACATTTTCCGAAAACTTTTTTGTAACAAAATTTAATTTACATAACTCTACTGGTACAAAACCTTTTTATATGTTTTTTTTAATAATTATTAAACATTTATATTCGTTTATTTGAAATTTTTTATAAGA